AAACGTCAGCTTTCCTGCTCCTCTGATGCTGCTTGACCTGCTTTGTTCATCCAGCTCTACACCTTGTTATCTCAGATTCTCCAGCATCTGCAGTTCCTCCTATGCCTAGATATGAACTTTAACTATGGTACCTGTCTGGCTGCAGACCAAGTGTGAAAGTGGGATGAGGCTGGGTGACCCATTTTTCAGTTTGTGCAGAAACAATGGGCCAAAATGGTCTCTTCTGTACTGCAATTTTCACAAAATTCTAAATTGTATTATAAAAACGTGCTTTGGAAATGTTCTTTTTCATAAACTACTGTTTTAAAACAATCATCTTGATGAAAAACAGGCACAATCTCAACAGAATATTCAAAAATTTTTCAAAAATTCAAAAAGTCCAGGAATTGTCATTCATCAGTTGCCAGATCAAAAACATTTTATGTGTAGTTAATGGAATTAGGATTTCTCCCCCACAACATTTTTTTCAATTATACTTCACGCAGCCAAACTTTTACCCCCACATAAACGAAACAAATCACAACTATCTTAACTGAGGCTGTTATTGTTCTGTTACATATTTGTTCTATGTATCACACTATAGATCAGTTTCCTCTCACCTCTCCCACAATCCGACAAGAAACAAATGACCAAAAAAAATTCTTTGTTACCTTGTCCTTCTTGTCTTGTCGAGCATAGGGAAAACAAGGAATAACTGCAGTGACTCGAGATGATGATGCAAACTTGCAGGCATTGATCATGATTAACAGCTCTATCAAATTATCATTGATTTCCCCACAGCCACTTTGGATTATGTATACATCTTCTCCTCTGACACTCTCCCCAATTTCCACACTGCAGAACAAAACAAAATGGATGAATCACTACTTTTGGAAAGATCCACAGAGAGATTAAAAACACTATTCATATTCCAGGTAAGTGCTGCTGAGTCGTTAGTGTTTTGTCAGATATTTGGATTAAAAAAGGCAGTTTAAAACAAGGTAAAGTAGAGCAGGTGACTTTCTACAATTTGTGCTAAGTGTTATACCAATGTGATCTGGCTGCCCTGGGAACTGGCACTCAGGTCACATTCTATTAAAACCCAAATGTCAGTTTTCACACGTGATTCAGTTGGTCTTCTGGGAATCCTTGAAATGACTTCCAGCAGCAAGATCAACTGCAGTGATGAAGATTTCAGGCAAAGTTTCCAGCGTCCTTAAACTTGTAGATATGCAATGAAAGAAAGTGAAACAGCAGCCAATGCAAACAGAATGGAAAAAAATTGTTCTGTTGGCCAGACAGAATGCTGGCAGGAGCATGTTTAAGTCAAAGAGCCGCTATATGCACAAATTTAAGGACGCTGGAAACTTTGCCTGGAATCTTCATCGCTGGAGTTGATCTTGCTGCTGGAAGTCATTTCAAGGATTCCCAGAAGACCAAATGAATCAATTTTCAGCGAATGCTTGTCTTTACAACTCAAGTGAAACAAGGAGAAGGAAACCTCTTGGAAGCTAGGAGTAACTTTAGACTGAATCCTGCAAAGAGCTCAATTCTGTGGAAAGCACAGTATGAAGGCAGTTTTGGGGAGGAGCTGGGGTAGTAGTTTTGACGTGTTAGGAAGCAAGTAGAGGATGGGTGAGAATATATTTTCTGTTGTTTTGTGCATCAGTTAAAAATCAGACCTGGGCAAGATTCCCCAATTTGTTACGGCTCCAGACACAATACTGCAAACTCTTTAGATACTGAGGGAGGGGGCAACAAACTAGTTCCCATTTTCATAATGCAGAATTTTTGAGAGATCCTCAAATTGATCCCCTGGCATTTAAATAGCTTTTATGAATTGGTCTCTGTGGGGATGATAATGCTATCTATAAACAAAATAGCTTGTTACATAACCACTGCCATTTGAGATGTTTATGCTAACAGATATCTAGATCAGAATAAACAACCTGAATTTAATGCTCAAAGATGGGATCCTTCTGCACTTTGTGATTTTGTTAACATTACAAAATGTTGCAAGGATGAGGAATATCTTCACTGCAAGTACATGCCAGGGCTGAAAAAAGAAAGTTACAACTCTGCCTAATACTAAAACTGTCTCAAAAGGAACACCAAACAGCTGAAGTCCACATCTTTTGAATGAAGTAACTTAGCTCTAACAGCTACTATGAAGGATGTTTCCCAGCATTCTATGAATAGGATATAATAAATATGTTACATTGCTTCATATAGTATATTCAATCAACAGAACTTCTGTTAAGATTTTCCAATGACTGAGGATTCTTCGTGACACATCAAACCATATATTAACTTATAGAGCACTTTTGCTCTGGTGGAAAAGAAATAAAAAGCGGAGTCTAAGGACTTTTGCATCACTTGGTCACTAAACCAAGATGATTTTAAAAATCTATAATGCACTTTTCAACATTAGTACATTTTTTAAAAAAATCAACAGAAAGCCACTCAGTAATTACAAGTTAAACAGATTCAGTGCAGTAAAAATGACTTATTCAGCAACTCAAATTCTCAGGTGTAAGTACACTTAATCCAACAAAGAGAAATGGACAGGGGAGGGAATACGGTCAGGTGCTCCAAACCCAATTATAATCAATTAGCATCATATAATCAAGTACCTTTAACAAAAGGAAGTATCCCAAAGCACTTCGCAGGAGGATTACAAAACAAAGTGTGATGTTGAGGCCCACAAAGAGAAAATGGCCTGGAGCTTGCTGAAAGAGGTACGTTTTAAGGAGTATCTTCAAAGTGGAAAAGTACAGAGGCCAAAGGTTGTCAGCGGGGTATTCCGGAGCTTGAAGCCTACCAACTGAAGGTGCAGTAATTAAAATCGGAGATGGAGAAGAAGCTAGAATTGAGTGCAGATATCTTAGAGGGCTGAGAAGCTTTTTTTTTGGGGGGGGGGGGGGGGGGGTGATGGCAAAAGGCAAGGGAAACAGTACAGAGACAGCAGAGGAATGACCACAAAGGGATTTGAAAGTAAAGATAGCATTTTAAAGCCAAGACATCACTTAATCATGATCAAATGTAGGTCAGTGAGCACAAGGGTAATAGGCAAATGGGACTTGCTGCGAGTTAAGACATGGCCAGTACAGTTTTAGATAACTTCAAATCTGTAAATGGTAAAAGCTCAGCCAGACGTGCATTGGAATAGCAGAGAGAAGTAATAAAGGCATGAATGAAACTGTCAGTTGCAGACATGTTGAAACAGAACACAAGTCAGGCCATGTGAAAGATTTAATTGTAGAACAGATAGAAGATCAAAAGCTCACCTGGAGATGAAATATGACACCAAAGATACAAACAAACTGATTAGGGTCAGATTATTGCCTGGAAAATTAATGGAGTCTATAGCTAGGGAACAGAGTTTGGGATTTAAGTTACAAACACACACACAAAGTTTGAGTTCAGTTACAGAATGGAAGGGACATGGCATCATTGCAATGATACCACAAAACTTAATGACTTTCAAAGAAGGAATGCTATTTTGGGAAGACTGTTTTCTTTTCTGTCTTGTATTTTTCCAGTTGCAGTTATAGAATTAATAATCAAAACGGAAAAAAGAAACAATAAAGCTCCTCCTGTATATTTCTATACTTTCTAAATGTCTGAAAATGAGCACACGCAGGGTAACACTTGTAGGTTAACTGCTCTTTAGGAGGATGACCAATGACACGATGGGTTAAATAGCCTTCTCTGTACTGTAATAATTCTATGATGCTGCATCAATGTTCTGCAGAAATAGCAATGCAACATTCACAAAAGCAACAATCCCAGGGAGAATTTCATTAACAGTGAAACGTTAGCTCAAACTAAATGGGGCCTTGCCAACTAATGTTTCCAGTTGACCAACTTGGCATGCCCAAAGAGGCAACAGATTTCTATGAATTTTTCAACATTCTATTATGGGATGTGGGCAGTGCCAGTATTTGATGCCCATCCCTAACTGCTTTTGAACTGCTCGGTCTATTAGACTCAAAAGCCAAAAGTACATTAGTGAATCATTTGTCCTTTTTACAATCAAATTAACATTTTTTTTCCAGATGTTACTGAATGCAGATTTCATTACATTTCTTCAGTAAGATTTGAACATATGTCTCCAGAACATTGTCCAAGGGTAATGATATTACCAGTCCAATGATATTACCACTACTCCACTATGTTCCCTTGTTTTCCACACCATAAACGTGGGTAATCAAATGATTTGACTCTCCACATCGTTCACCTTTCTTCAGAACTGGTTTGATGCAGGCCTATTTTACACTTTGAAAATCAGAGGCTTATGTTACATTAGTCACCATACAACGCTATTATATGTTTACATAAATATCACAAATCAATGACTCCTGTCATAACCTGACAACCAAAGCAGCAATAACTGAAGAATAAAAATGTAAATTGTTCTTGCATCATGATAGAATTAGAATAAAAGAGTATGTATGCTGTCAGAAGTAACCAAAGTCAGAGTATCCTTCAAAGGTGAGATTTGAACATTCCCACCATGAACTTACGCCTCCGCCATACCTCAAGCTGCAAGTTTCTTTTCAACAAAAACAAAACAAAACCAGAACAAGCTGGAGAAATCAAATCTCTCAGTCAGCTTCTTTTGGTGAAATTTTGCAGCGCACTCAAAGTTACAAAGCTTGGTTTTAATTACATGGTTGAATCATTACACTGTAAATGGAACAAATTCATAGTTGGTATTCGGTCAGAACTTTCCCTTTTCACGAGTTCAACTTAAATCACTGATCAGTTTTACATGCGTTCAATCATTCTAATTTGGCTCTTAAAAAAAAATATCCATTCAGAGAAATTCAGTTCTGGAACCTAATCTTTACTATTCATATCCATGTAAAACATGCACACTACCCAGGACATGACATAACCTAGCCAATATAAGATGTAGGTTGATGTCAATCACAAATTTGCAGAGATATGTAAACCATAATCTTTGAATTACCTAAGCCCAGTCAATCTGTCCTATTTATGATACTTAAAGTCAATGAGATGAGCCTGGAGAGAGACCCTTTGGTCTAACTCGCCCATGCTGACCAGCTATCCTAGATAAATCTAGTCCCATTTGCCAGCATTTGGCCCATATCCCTCTAAACTCTACCTTTCCATGTACCCATCCAGATGCATTTTAAATGTTGCAATCGTACCAGCCTCCCACTTCCTTTGGCAGCTCATTCCATACATGTACCACTGTGAAAAAGTTGCCCCTAAGGTCCCTTTTACACCTTTCCCTCCTCACCTTAAACCTGTGCCTCCCAGCTTTGGCCTCCCCAACTCCAGGGAAACAACCTTCTCTATTTACCCTATCCATATCCCTCAATTTTATAAACCTCCAAGGTCACCCCTTAGCCTTCGACGCTCCAGGGAAAATAGCCCCAGCCTATTCAGCCTCTCCTGATAGCTCAAACACTTCAACCCTGGCAACATCCTTGTAAATCTTTTCTGAACCCTTTCAAGTTTCACAACATCTTTCCTGTAGCAGGGTGACCCGAATTGCACACAGTATTCCAAAAGTGGCCTAACCAAAACCCTGTACAGCCGCAACATGACCTCCCAACTCCTACACCCAATGCACTGTCCAATAAAGGCAAGCATACCAAATGCCTTCTTCACTATCCTGTCTACCTGCAACTCCACTTTCAAGGAACTGTGAACCTGCACTCCAAGGTTATTTATTACCAATGATGTTTCCATTTTGTGGGTCAGAGATCTGGAAAGGATTTATTGGAATGGATTTATCAGAACTGTCGCTTTAATGCCACAATCTATTAGGAGTGAAAACATATATATGGGAGCATGGAATTTTATAGGATTTTCACTTTCCA